GTTATCTATGATTATTATTGTCATTATTGTCATCTATAACTATTATTATCAAAATCACTTTTGTTATTATAATTACCATTATTATCATTAGGAGTAGTAACATATGATAATAATAATGATAATAATGATAATAATAATAATAATAATAATAATAATAATATGATTAATAATAATAATAATAATAATAATAATAAATAATAATAATAATAATAATAAATAATATAATAATAAATAATAATATAATAATAAATAATAATAATATAATAATAATGATATCAAGAATAATGATGGTGATGAAGAGGATGATAATCAAAAGATAAAAAACAATGATAATAGGAATGATAATGATCATAATAATAATGAAAATACAAAAAAATAATAACAATAACAATAAAATGATAATAGTAATAAAGTATAATGGAAATAGCAATGATAATCATAATAGTAATGATAATAATGATAATGATAATTATAAGGATAATAATGATACTACTAACAAGGATAAAGATAATGATGGCAACAATAAAATCTTGATGATGATGATAATAATAATAATAATAATAATAATAATAATAATAATAATAATAATAATAATAATAATAATATTATCATTTCATATAACAATGAAATATAATGATAATGATGACAATATTGCTGATACCTTATAATAATAACAATAATGATGATGATAGAAATAATATAGATAATGATAATTATAAGAACAAATGAAAGATAATGATGAAGAAAAAAAATCCATAATGATGACGACAATTAGTGATAGTAATAAAACATCACTATAATTGATATAGTAATAATTACTATAGCTATTATCATTACCATTATTGTCATAATTATCATAATTATCAGTGCCTTCATTATCATTGTTATTATTGTCGTTGGCTATAATCATTATCATTATCAATATCATTATTGTTATTAGCAATAGCATCATTCTTCTTCTTATTATTATTTTGTCATTATCATTATTTTATCATTATTGCTATCATGATTATTATTGTTATTATTCTCATTATTATTAATATTATCACAATCATTATTATTATTATCATTATCATCATTATATTTACTAGTATCATCCTTATTAACATCATCATTATTCTTATTGTTATTATTGTCATTATTATTGTTATATTTTTATCACTATCACGATTAAAATTTTACCATTGCTATCATTTCTGCTCTTATCATTAATGTTTTTTTCACTTTCTTCATCTTATCGTATTTATCATTATTATCATATCATCGTAATTGTTATTACTCATTCATTATTTTTATCATCATATCATTGTCATTATCTGGGATGTTCAACATCATTATGTTTTTTTTTTTTTTTTTTTTTTTTTTTAATACTGGCCTTCCAAATGTTGTTGTTCTTCTAATGATTATATTACTTTCACCATTAATAACATTGTTATTTATGCTCACACATACCCAACGTACTTTTTCCACTGCGGTGACAAAGATGTACAAGTCAATATCATGAACACCTAATCTCAAAACGTGTTATACATTTTTTTCTTTTTTTCAATAACATAATTTTAACAGGACCTCATCTACTATAAAGTCACAGTTCAGTGATCTTGTCTATATAACGAAATACTGTGTTACATGCTTTTCCTTGCCTCCTATAACTGGACTCCTCTTGTTATGTCCTCAACAAGTATACACACTGATGTTATATTAAAGACATTATCAAGTTCATCTATGTATATTTTCCAGTACGTTATATACTATATTAATCAAAATTTAGATATGGTATCTCCTGCTATCTGTGATGTTTATTGTATAATACAGTACTCACTTTGATGCACTTTCTCTTATTATGTATAATTTTGTGTGAGATGCGAAGAAAATTGCGTAAGTATATAGTTCCCTTCTCAAAATCAGTTCCTTTCGCACAAGAAATGTTGTTATTTTGCACACGAAAATCTATCTAGCACAAAGATTTACGATCACATTTCGTGGGACAAGGAGAGACGAAAGACCCATTACAATAATTTATAGAATATTGGCTTGTTAACTCCATGAAATCATTATCTACAATTCCCACATATTACTTTTCGTGCAGTCATAACGTAAAGCACTCCTATGACTAAACCGCAAGCTGCAAATCATTGTCCGATCATTACGGAATCTGGATCGCAGAATAATTATTTTACTTGCCTTCAAAGTCCTGTTCATTCTGTTGATAAACCTGGTTCGAAAAACGACACACACACACATGTAAACAAACACACACACACACATATAAACACACACACACACACATATATATGTGTGTGTGTGAATTTGTGTGTGTGTGTGAGGGGGGTGTAATAATAAATAAGGTACTTGAGATGATACCAACCAAGATTTAGCAGATCATGGCATAAGGAAAATAACCAAGGTAATTAGTTATATACCTAAGTTAAAGTAGTAGATTATCATATTATCTTATATTGAACATAGGTTATTTCATCAGATTGCTGTATTTTTCAAA